TCCGACGAGCTTTCGATAGTTTGAACTTCATCGGGGGGATGATACTTGTAGATATCAGCAACGTTAAATGTAGGAGATGTAAGGATCTCTGGTGGGAGATCAATGACATAAGCATTGTCATTAATCTTGTGGCGAATCTGGAATGGTCCCAGCTTCCTTGGGCTGAGCTTGGAATAACTGCCTTGGGGAAATCGCTCACGCCACATTCGGATCATCACCAACTCGCCAGGACTGAAAATTTTGAAACGCCGGTGGGTATCTGCCTCTAGTTTATACTTGGCATTTGACTCCTGTAATATGCCCTTCACGGTTTGAATAGTATCGGCGGCTTGCGAAATGGTTTTGTTGACTTGAGCTTTGCTGCATTTAGGTAAAATAGCCAAATCAACTAAGTGATTAGGAGGTTTAGTGTATACCACCTGAAACGGGCTGGTCTTCGTCGAGCGGTTGGCCAAAGAATTATAGGCAAATTCAGCATGGCTGAGAAGTTCCTCCCACTTTGTCGGGTTGCCTTGGACCAAGCAGCGGAGCATATTCCCTAGCGTCCTGTTGACGACTTCAGTCTGACCATCCGTTTGCGGATGATATGCGGAACTTAATTTGATATCTGTCTTTAAGCATCGCCAAAGCTCTCGCCAGAAGTGACTGACGAACTTAACGTCGCGGTCCGAAGTGAGGCTTCGAGGAAGACCATGCAACCTGACAATTTCCTTAAAAAAAAGGTGGGCAATATTGACGGCATCAAAAGTTTTCTTACAAGGAACGAAATGCGCCATTTTTGAGAAACGATCGACCACGACCATAATCGAATCCGCTCCTCGTTTGGTTCGTGGTAAACCCATGATGAAATCTAGAGTTAAATCTTCCCAAATGGAATCAGGTATGGGGAGAGGTAGATATAACCCGGTATTTTGTGACGTACCTTTGTAGCGTTGACAAACAACACACCTCTCAACGAACCTGGCGACGTCCCGCCGTAGGCGCGGCCAAAAAAAACGAGATTGTAGAAGTTCAAGGGTTCGATCTCGCCCAGCATGAGCTGCTAACCCGCCGCCATGAAGCTCCTTAATTAGTTGCGGCCGCCAGGAAGACTCGGGAATGCATAAGTTGTTTCCCTTAAACAAAAATCCCTGCTGTACAGTGAAATCCTGCTGCGGTCTTCCTTGTGTGCATTCACTCCAGATTTGAGAGAAATCTTTGTCCGTTGCATACAGATTTTTCAGCTCCTGTAGCCCAATAATCTCTGTTTGGAGATGTGTGATTAAGGCAGCTCGCCTACTAAGGGCGTCGGCAACGCGATTAGCTTGTCCGGCTTTGTGTTTGATAACAAAACTAAACCTCTGAAAGAACACAATCCAGCGAGCGTGCATACGACTGATGTTCTTTTGGCTATTAATATACTGGAGAGCCTGATTGTCACTACACAGAACAAAGTCTTTATGCAACAAGTAATGCTCCCACTGTTTGAGTGCCCGGACAACGGCATACAACTCCTGTTCATATGCCGAGCATTTCTGTCTAGCGGAGCTTAATTTCTCACTGAAATACTCAATTGGCTTGCCGTCCTGAGACAAGATAGCCCCCACACCAATGGCTGACGCATCAGTATCAACTTGAAAGGGTTTATCGAAGTCAGGAAAAGCCAATAACGGCGCCGAACAGAGTGCTGCCTTAATTTTGTCAAAACTTTTTTGCTGGATAGGCGTCCAAGTGAATGTTGGTGACTTCAAACAATTAGTTATGGGGGCTACTATACTGCTAAAACCTTTAATGAATCGACGGTAGTAATTGGCTAAGCCGTGGAAGCTCCGCACGTCGGTTAGAGACCTTGGTGTTGGCCAATCCCGAATGGCCGAAATTTTGTCTGGGGAAGTCATGACACCGTCCGGGGTTAACACGAATCCCAGGAATGGAATTCTTTCAACAGCAAAAGCACATTTATTTAAGTTGAGGAAGAGCTGGTGCTCACGTAAGGCCTCTAAAATTGCTCGAAGATGACTGACATGTGAATCCAGAGAATTGCTAAATATTAGGATGTCATCAAAGTAAACCAAACAAAACTTGCCAAGGTACGGTTTCAAAATCTCATGCATGAGTCTCATAAAAGTAGATGGCGCATTACAAAGTCCGAACGGCATGACTTTCCACTCGAACAAGCCGTCAATAGTCTTGAAAGCGGTCTTCCATTCGTCGCCCGGCCGTATACGAATCTGGTGGTATCCGCTTCTCAAATCTAGTTTGGAAAAAATTGTAGCGCCGGATAGTTTGTCGAGGAGATCTGAAATTCGCGGCATTGGAAACCGGTACTTAATGGTAATGCGATTGATCGCTCTACTGTCTATGCACATACGCCACTGGCCATCTTTCTTTGGAACTATCAAGGCGGGGACTGCGCACGAACTCATGCTCGGTTGAATAAACTGCTTGTCCAGCAACTCTTGTACAATTTTCTACAGAATGCTGTGTTCACGCGGACTCATCCGATAATGCGGCAAGTTGGGTAGCACGGCACCTGGAAGTAATTCAATCTGATGCTGTATCTCCCTGAGCGGTGGTAGTGTTGGACGCAAGTCCGCAGCGGTGATGTCCTGGAAGGAATTGATCATCGTTTGAACCTCTGGAGGTGTTTGAAGGGGCGGCTGTTCGGTCACATCAGAAGTCACTAATGCATACATAGGGCAGCCCTCACTCTTGAGTTGAAGTAGTTCACGCTCAGCAATTAGACATGCCATGGTAAGACTAGCAGGAGCAGAAGTCTGAACGGAACCAACAGGCATCAATTTCAGTTTCTTTCCCTTGACTTCGACAGTATAAGTGTTCGACCTGCCATCATGAACGGCGCCCGTATCGTACTGCCATGGTCTACCAAGGATGAGGTGGCATACATCCATATCCATAACATCACAAGTGACTTGGCAGATATACCTTTTGCCGATAGAAAAGGTGATCTTACACAAATCGGAGACGAGTAAGTCGACTCCCTTTTTGACCCAGCTTATCTTAAAAGGATTCGGATTCCGGGTTGTTTTGATTTGGAGTGCTTGTACTGCCGCCTTGGAGATGATATTCTCCGTACAACCACTATCAATGACCAATTCACAGACCTTGTCGTTAATGGTGTACTTAGTGCGAAACAGTTTGTGCCGCTGTGTCTCGACAGGTGTTCGCGGGGCCAAGAGCATTTTTCTATGACACCTAATAATGGTTCGTCGTCATCAGCCAATACTTCCTCTACCGCCTCTTCAATATCATCCTGAAGACCGGGTTGATCAAGCTCTTCTTCTCCTTCAGCTAATTGGACTTGGTGGCGGGATGGGCACTCATTCGATTTGTGTCCGGGTTGTAGACACCTAAAGCATTTAATCGCATTGGGCTTGGCATAAGGGTTCTCACGTATAGGAGCTCGGGCCTTGACTCCTCCTTTAAATTCGGGTGCTGTATTAGTTGGTGCTGAGGGAGCTTCTGGCAATTTGGTTGTTGGTGTCACTACCTTGGATGATCCAGCACTGCTTTCCATGAAAGTCCGGCGGCTAGTCGTCGACCGGTAATGGCGTTGCAATTGACTTTCGGCCTTGAGTGCGAAGTTCACTGCTTGGGAGAGCGACCAAATGGAATTGAGCTCGAGTTTGTCTTGAAGGTTCTCTTTCAAGCCACCGATGTAACGTGCCACAAGTTGGTTTTCGGACTCCCGCAAATTGTTCCGGGCGCTCAGCCTGTAAAATTCTTCCGTATACTCATGGACTGGCCGTGATCCTTGTCGACACTGCTGGTATTGCAGATACAGTAGCTGTTCGAAATCAGTAGGTAAGAAGTGGCGCCTCATGAGTTGCTTCAAACGACCCCAGCTTCGGATTGGGGCTTTTCCTTCACGCATCTGATTTTGAAGAAGTTGTAACCACCACGCGCTAGCTCCTCCTTTTAGGCGGCAAGCTACATACTTAACTTGCTTCTCCGGATTGACTTCCATGTAGTCAAAAAAATTTTCCACGGCACCTTCCCAATCTAGATAATCCTCAATGTGTAACCTACCATCAAAAAATGGAATATCCATTTTTATGCGGAACCCATCAGGTTCAAACCGCGGCTGTCGCGGCCTTCGTCCTCTGGCCGGAAGTGGGAAAAAGACTTCGCCATCTGAATCCGATTGCTCTTGCCTGGGAATATCTTCCTCCTCCGAATCGGAATATTCAGGTATTAGTTCTGGGGCTCTTCTCGGCATCTGGCCGTGTCTGACGGGTTGTCTTGCATCCGGTATGGTTGCCGGAGCAAAGGGCCGCGC